TTGTTAATTAGTGTTTGAACAGTGCTTTAAAATTTAAAAAAAATCATTAAGTATACTATTTAAAACAGTAAATAAGACAATGTAGTAGAGATGCTGTCATGTTTCAGTATGGTACCTTATTTTTAATTTGCTTTCATTTCCACTGTACCTTTTGTGGTCTGGTATCAGATTAGCTCTGTATTCACTTTCCCTAGTCCTGCAGATTACTTGAAAAAATATAACGCGGCATTAAATTTAGCAAGTCTCACCATAGTCCCTGCCTATTTCCTTTATTAGATCAGAGGGTATTTTCATGGTGTACCATGAAATCCTTTTGGAATAAAAGGAAAAAATGACCAAGTATATTTGACATCCACATTGTTAAAACAAATCCAATTGTTATAGTCAGGATCCTATTAGTTTCAGAAGAAAATTGTGATTCTTCATTGTTTATAGTCCACAAATGTCCAGCTGTCTGGTTTCTTTGCATTCTGTAATTAGCAATTTTAGATATTTTCTGCTTTTGAAGCAATATACTTGCTTAAACTCATCCTAATTTTCCTTTGGTGTGTTCATTTATTAGCTCAGACTCTTGCTGAAACTGCAGAAGTCCATTAAATATCATATTGTATCCAGTTACTATTAGAATGTTTTCTCCAGAGTCTATCAGGTACGATAATGCTTTAATTGCTTTTATTTATCATCAAATCTGTACCATTTTTCTTGGTCTGCTCCAGTGGAGGGAGGGGAGGGTCTCCAAAGTTTCATTGTTAAGACTCTAGTGGATAGTTGGAAATTCAGGGTGGTGGAGCTAGCATTGAAGATAAGGAAAAACATTTCAGCGTTCTACTGTGCCTTCATTAAAATAAATAGCTGAAGAAAGGTGGTGGTTAAGGTGTAACACTGAAAGCCTGGTGATCTGAATAATATTCTAGTTGTCACATTGACTGTCTGTCTGGAAGAACTAGATGTCTGGAAGGGAAGGTCCTACAATATGAAAAGTCCTTTAAAAATATTAATGATTTTATCCTGCCTAGTCCCTTATCTCCTGGGAAAGGGAGACAAAGAGGGAATCAGTAAATATTTTGAAAGGGTAAAAATTGCATTTTTATGCTAGCAATATAAAAAAACCCACCCGTGTTGTTTTCTGAATTACGGGCCAATAGTTGTCTTCCTGATCTCTTTGCTATATTTATATTGTGCTATAGTTTGTAGTGAGGACAGTGTGGAGAGTTGGAGTCCCCATTCCAGTCTTTACGCACAACATGCTACTTGTTTTAGATTCTAAACATCCCCCCTTGGGATTTTCTTTCTTCTGTTCTTCAAATGGTAGATGGTGAGCATTTTCCTAAGCTTCCTTTTCAGGTGACTATTTCTAAATTACTGTCTTGAAAAGCCTTTTCTATTGATCATTTGAACCTCTAATCTTAGGAAATCTCTAGCTTCTGTCTCCTGTACTGGAGCTACTGACACTCGCCTGGTCTGGCTGCCAGGATACATGAGCAGAGTAGCTTTAAATCTCCTGGTAGGATTCTAGAATCTGGTGGCCTGTCACGTGGACTCTTTGCACTTGTCCTTCCTGCACTTATTGTTCCTGCTGCACTCATAATACTGGGGAGAGAAATCAAGACAAGTTAATGCTTAACTCTAATACTTGTAATTAAAATCAATATGCTAAAAATAATTGACAGAGTGAAACACCTGTCCTTTCCTGGCATTTATTTTGCTACCCAGTAATAGAAATAATCTTTCAGGCTTGTGAAGCCATTTCACTTCTGAAATTATTGCTTCTGTTGCTATCCAATCTCAGTTTTTGTTTGCTTTGAGTTTCTGTATATTGCCTGTGTTAATTTTTACCTATGGTAGCTGTTGATAAAATGTTCAGTCTTTGTTTAAATCAGTGATGACGCAAGAGACTTGTGAAAGTTTACTTGCCTTTGAACAGAATGCATGCGAGTATTTCAGAATCTGTATAGTTTTACAGTTTTCCAACAATATGCCTCTACCATTTTGGGAGGCTCGCCTCTAACATTGAGTAGGTGGTTCAAGCTTTTATTCCTGTTAAACCTTGATCTATTTTCTGAAACTGCCAACGTGTTGTCAGTTTTGGTTGTTGTAGGTATAAGTGTATATTTCATCTGTGCTTGCCGTCCACTGACAGCTGGATTGAGATTTATAAACAAAATTAACAGCTGTCAGATGAAGGCATTTTTATCTTGGCGTAGATTTGAACAAGTGAGCTAGAGTTAAAAAGCTATCAATTTATCTTAGCTCTGTCTAGTGATAACTTGATTCCTAATTCACTTAGCTCTTAGCTTTGTATTTCATAATTTGTTTTATTCCTGTTTCTGCAAACTTTAATTCTATCTACAGAAACAAAAGCAGTCTGTGTAATAGCTTTCAATTAGAGCTATGTAATTTAATCTTGTCCCAGCAGTGAGTTATTGTTTTAGATTTTAATTCAAATAACTGTTTTTAAGGCTTCTTGGGTGTTGGTCTAAGGACTATTTGAGTTAGTCTAATAAAAGATATCAGATTTATCCAAAGAACCTTGTCTGTTTAAGGTATTTTTAAATATGTAGAATAATAGAAAAGTAGAGTTGGAAGCCATCTCAGAAGGTCATCTAGTCCAGTCTGATGCTCAAGGCAGAATCATCCCTGTTTAAACCACCCTAGACAAACGTGTAACCGGCACATAAACATTTCCAGGAATGGAGATACCTCAGTCTCTCTGAGTAGCCTGTTCTAATGTTTATCAAAATGACTTCCGGTTAGGTAAGAATTCAATGTTGAGTGCACTTGGCTTTTACAGGGTAAGTTCTATAAACCTTAAGTTTATGGAAAATTTTACTTTGGTCAGATAATTTCTGGTTTTAATTCTGTAAAGGGTATTTAGTTGTTCTTCAGAGGTGAAGGTACAGGGGGCAAGACAAAGTATGGGGGAGGGAGCCGTGGAGTGGGGAAGTGACCAGTGAGGGGGAGCAAATGGCATGGGGGTAAGGTACAGGAGGGAAGGGTCTGGGGTCAGGCTGCCACTTGCCTCCCCACCACTTGCCCTCCAGCTGTTGCTTTCCCTGCCACAGCAGTGGGTAGGGGGAAGACAAATTTAAGATGGCCCTCCAATAATTAGATGATTTACATGGAAAATTGTAAGAAATTTATAATTTTCCATGTATTGAATCTGGTTTTTGGGGGATCATCTTCAATTCAACTTAATCTAGGATTTAGGTAGCTGTGGAATTTGGCTAAGCTTTGGCTGAACATCTGGGTTCTTTTCATTTATTGCTTCACAATGATGCTTTAACATGCTTATTGCAAAATAAGAAGTACACATGAAATTTGAATTATATGATGCAATACAAATCAGGAAACCCAAGCAAACAAAGAAGTGTGGAAGCAACATAATAGCATAGAGCAGGGAGGACTCATTTCTTGGCAGATGCTTGAAAACAATGTTCATATTGTTCTCTGTTGTAAGAAGGTTTGGTACTTCTTCAGCTCAATGGAATATTCACGTTTCAAATAGTTGTTCTAGCTTCAGGTGATGTCTTCTGTATTTTTACACTAACACTGAAGAAGCCTTAAAACTGGTAGGTAAGCAGCTGAGAATTCCTCTGGCATGAAGAAATCCTGAGGGTTGTAAGGTTGAGTCTACCGGTGTTACATCTTCCCTGTCAATCACCCATAATGTGCTGGGAGTATAACTTAGAATATTCAACAGTGCCCCTAGCATAATAGCTTCTGGAGGAAATCTCTCTTAACTTGAAGGTGTTGCACTTTTTAACAACCAATAGTTCTCCTTTATCACACACAGACTATCCTTCTAGAGCCAGCCAAGTTTTCTCCTCATTCTTCCCATTCTTTTGTGTTTACCCTTTGATCGCTTTTTTCCCACTCCCCTATTTTCTGTCAGTTGTAGGCAGTAATTAGAGAACAGTGCTGAACAGTGCTTTCACGTGGCCTGTGACCCTTGTGTGTGCAATCTTGTGGCTTTGTAGCTTTACTGCCCAAATACAAATTTATTTCCAGCTTTTGTTTCAGGCAGGCAGAATCCAGATTCAGTCTTTCTTATGGAAAAAGTAAGCTCTTTGCTCCTTTTATTGTTTGCAAAATGCAATGGAAAATGAGTGCATGGGAGATAGGGAATCAGATAATATTTTTTCCCCTTGGAAAAATTTGCTTCCTTTGTGCCCTTTTCTGTTCGTGACAAAAGCAGTGAAACCAAGTTTTGACTTGGAAAAACAACTTTTCCTAAAATAATAATATAATAATAATTTTCAAGTCCCAAGACTCTTCTTCCCTTTTAATATAAGTCTGTAGAGCTATAATAAAATGCAGCAAGAACAGAGTTAAAATTTTCAGAGGTCATTTTTGTTTTGCAGATGTGTATGTTTGTGTGTGTGGGGCAGGGGGTGTTGAGAAGTAGGGAGGAGTACATGGGGGAATATGTGGAAAAAGTCAAATGTGGAACTAGTAAATGAAGTAAAGTTTTAAAGAGTTTCGAATTCCCTAATTCAGCTCCAACCATTTAGCAATAGAGGTGCTTTCTTAACATACTGTTCAGGAGCTGTTGGACTATATAGAGTAAAAATATGATTAGTATTCAAGGGAACCTAAAAGGAAAATAAAGACCAGTACTTTTTATGACCCAGTTTCACCTGGAATAGCTGCTTACTTAGACTATAAAATAAGGGCCTGGAACACCCAGGAGCACACCCAGGTATTTTGGAGACGAAGCTGTGTTGCTGTGTTCAGGAGACTTCATTTCAATTTCCTGGCCGCCAGTTGGGTCAAGAATTACATTTACTGTGATTAACAAGTTGCTGGATTTGAACATGTCAGGCAAAAATCATTCCAAAGAACATTTAGTCTTCAAGGAAAAGAGGAAATGAATTAAGCAGTAGAGTCAGCTCATGTAAATAGATCAGTGGTCCACGGTGACAGCTTTATAAGCCTGTTGAATCTTCATGATTTCCCCCTGAATTCTAGTCATGCAGATGTTAAAGAATCCATGCTCAAAGTGTTTGGTAGGTTTGCTTAATGTTTTTTGTAATAAGAGGTAGTGTCCTTTTAATCCATCCTGTTTTGGTCTGCTTAGAACCAAGGCTTTCTTTTACAGGACCAATGATATGGTTGGGAGAAATGTTAGACAGCATTTGGATACTAGCAAAGAAGGGCATTTATGCCCAAAAATTGTCTAACACCTCTCCCAACTAGGAGAGAGAGAAGATAACACCAAAACAAACACAAACAAAAACCCCTTGCTTCTCGCACATTCTCTGACCCCAAACCTGCTGCATCTGTTTACATCTTTCATCTAAATAAAGACTTTTTATTTTTAGTGAGGGTACTAAGTTGTAATATGAGCAAGCATGTTGATCAGTCTAGACTAGTACCATTTATTCAACAGCTCCAAGATAATAGAAGTCATAGAAAATGAGGGTTGGAAGGGACCTCAGGAGGTCATCTAGTCCAACCGTCTGCTCAATGCAGGACCATCCCCAACTAGATCATCCCAGCCAAAGCTTTGTCTAGGCGGGTCTTGAAAAGCTCCAAGGATGAAGATTACACAACCTCTCTGGGTAACTACAAAATACTTCCCATTATCACGGATCTATTATTAAAGCTACAGTAGTCAGTATTTCAATATATAGTACTTACTATAGTAAGGCACTTGCTGGATTTCTTTGGTTCTTGACATGTATGAAGAACATGCAAAATTCTGCTGTGTTTCTGAAGAAAAAGGTGAAACTGCAAATGGTTATGGTTATAGCTAGAAACAACCTGAATTTAGTATAGAAGGATTGCAGATTAGCATGATGCTATGTCACAGCATCATTTTTTAAAATAGAGGATCAGAGACTGACCAAGGGAGTTGCTCTATTTATTATGTTTGATCATCAACCCAATAAATCATCTGTTTGATTAGTTAAGACAACTTTTATTTTCCTTTTAAAAAAAATCTTACCTCTCTTTTTTTTCATCTGCACATAAGTTGTTTTGTATTATTTTTACATAGCTAGTTCTGGATAACTGACAGTTTTTCAGTTTTAAAGGTTTGGGGTGAAGGTTTTCTAGCTTTAAAACTGTTTTGATAAATCATGTATATTTTAATATAGAGTCCTTAGATTCTGAGATATTAGCACTTTTTATATTAATAGTACTTCCGAGTTTAAAAAATAAAAGGAAACAAGTAAACAGGTTTGTGAGAAACATTGTAATATTGAAATAAATCTTTACAATCAAGGTTAGCTAATTATACTTTTAAAATGAGAATTTGTATATGATACAAAAGGCCCATTGGAAAATAGGAAGAAATAGACTGGTTCCATGAATAACAGAAGATTAAGGCATAATTTTAAGAAATAAGTTATATATGAATGGCAAAATCTTAGACTTTTGGTTTAAATCACATGTACATTCAAACAGATGTATACAGAGCTTTTGTGTACAGGAGAAAAAAGGGTTTATATGCAGGTAAGTTAATTCTTAAGGTGATGCAAAATATTTTTACTTAAAGTTGTAAATATATTGTCAACTAAATAGAATTGGTTATATAAAAGAGGTAGTACATACTGCCATCAGAACTATTATGTGGTTAATTCGTGTAAATTATTGGAATTTGTACTGTAAGTTATTTGAAAAATATTGAGGCATCCATTTAAGTTTCTATGGAAACTGCACTAAAACCTGTTAAAGATCCTGTGGGATATTACTGACTTTCAGACTTTCAGCCATCACTCTGCTGGAAATCCCGTGCTTTGACAGCTTCCCTTTTATAGCCTGAGCATTTAACTAATTTTTACAGTTTATGGCTTAATGACTTAAAAGCTTTTCATTTTTTTAGAATGCATCAGATTATGTGTATGTAAATAGGTGCGTGTTTGTGTGTGTGTGTAGTAAGAGACTATCTTTTATCATCTATTTTATTCAGGGGTTTGCTACCCCCATTTCACTTAGCAAGGGGTAGGAGCAGACATATGAAACAGTACTGTAGAGTAGCTGATGTATGCTAACTCTTGCATCTTCTTTCTAAGATGTTGTAATTTATTCATTTGTTCACACCCAAAGTAAAGAATATGAGAATGTTCTAAATTCTTCTGTCCATTTGTACATACATTTTTCTTGTCTTTTTGCAGCTTAGTGAAAAAACTGATAGAGAGTACTACACTCTGGATGACATGTTTGTTTCCAAAGCAGCTAAGGGAGAGCGTAGTGGGGAAGAGGAGGCAAGACAAAGAAGAAAAGCAATCTATGAACATCAGCAGCTTGCTTCATGTATGGAGAAGTGTCCATATTGCTTTGACAGCACTGAACTTCCTAAGCATCTTATTGTTGCAATTGGTAGCAAGGTAAGAAAAAAGAAATTTCCCATGAAAAAGAGAAAAATAAAGGAAGGCAAGTTAGTGCTAAAATTCCTGAGATTAAAAAGAAAATTGCTTTTTTGGCATGATTTATTGACTCGCATATTATTTCCCTGGCCCTTTCAGTTAAACAGGAGAAAACTTCCTCTAAGGGAAGATGAAAAGATATGAATCTGTTCCTGAATGATTAATTTAATCTTCAGTACTAGAAATGTGTAGACGACCTTGGAGGCTCTGGAGCAACATCAAGGACAGAGGACTGATGATGACATAGGTGAACACATAGATTACAGAGGGTAGATGAATGTGCAGAAAACCAAATTGGGTTCAGTTTGACTACGTAAGAATTAAAAAGATGGTATAGAATAAAAAGCAGTTAGAACTTGTTAAGTAGCATCATGTAGTCTCACAAGATGAAGCATGGCTGAGTGGAGAGCATTCAGAAAACTGAAAAGTTCTCATGAATGATAAGAGCTACCTGTATTTAAAAAAAAAAAAAAGATTTGAAGCTAATTTGGTGAGAGATTATGAGGGGAAACTTTTGCCCGAGTGGAGATTCACATTAAAGGAGGATTGTTGGCATTATCACTAGATCTCGTTCTTTGGCATTTTTGCTGAGGATGAGAACAACTTAATTTGCAGTAGCTGTTCTAGAGGGGCTCCATAGGCAGAAGCTGTCAGTGAGCTGAATCTAGATGTCTTTTTGGTGTACTACAGCATTGTAACTAAGAGTAATGGGAGGGTGACCAGGGCAGCAACCCTGATTGCCAACTTTGGGGGAAAAGAGGGGTGCAAAAAGAACAGCTGCTGCATCTGGGAGTTGCTGCCACTCTATTATGTGCATACTATCAGCTGATTGGCAGTGCCAGCCCTGAGACTGTACAACAGTCTCCGATGCTGCCACATGTTCAATTTAAGGTGCAGTGGAGGGCAGCCACAAAAGTATTACATATTTTGTGCAGCAGTACACACTGATAGAGATGTTGGGGGCCAATACTGAGAGCTGATATTTAAGGAGGCATATCAGTCAATAGTGATCCAATTTCCAATACAGCTGCCTTCAGTTGGTAAGTCTGGTGTGGTGGAAGGGGAGGTAAGGGGCATGTGGGGGGCAGATCAATTCCCCACCCCCCTTGTGGAGAGGGAGGGGGGCA